TGGAGCCCAGCGGGTCGAGGCTGTAGTGGCCGGGAGCAGCCACTGCACTCCAGTCTGGGCAACAGAATGAGACTCCAACTCAAAAAAAAAAAGGTTATGATTTATAGGAAAATACTTAAATCTGTACAGCTATTTTCTTTTCACATTAACACGACTTTGAAATGGTTAAAATAATGGTCAGGCACAGTGGCTCATGACTGTAATCCCAACACTTTTGGGAGACCAAAGAGTCCAGGAGTTGGAGACCAGCCTGGGCAAAAGAACAAGACCCAGTCTCTACAAAAAATTTAAAAATTAGTCAAGCATGGTGGCACCAGAAGTCCCAGCTACTCAGGAGGCTGAGTTAGGAAGGAGGATCGCTTGAGCCCAGGAGTTCGAGGCTGCAGTGAACCATGATTGCATCACCACACTCTAGCCTAGGCGACAGAGCAAGACACTGTTTCCAGAAAAAAAGAATTCCCACTAATAATAAGAAAATAAACCGTCACCTAAGGGGATAATGGGCAAATGGCAAAAACAGCCATCCAAATGGAAATGAAAGGTCCTTGGCTCATAGTTCATCAGAAGGACGGACTCAAGCGGCACAAGGCCCGCAGAGCACCCCCCACTGGAACGGCCACGGAGGAAGTGGGAACACAACATGCACACAGTCTCAGGGGACTGTAATCTGTGCCGGCTGAGGCAGCAACTGCCAGCCACATGTGGCCAGCGAGCACCTAAAGTGTGGCTGGAGCGAGCGAGGTGTGAATCACTAAAATTCAGGTACAAATGGCCATGTGTGGCGCATGGCCCCGAGACAGACTGCACGCATTCGCAAAGAGGGAGATCCAGATAGCTACCCAGTACGCCAGGAGATGACGAGTCTGCCAGGTCCCCTGAAGTGACGAGCAGCAGGAGAGGGGAGGGCAAGGGAGTGAGCCCATAGAGGGAGCACGGCTGCACGGCCAGGCTGGAGGGATGGACGTGAGGGGCCCACACACGCAGATGCCTGGCCAGTGGCCCAGCTGTGGCCAAACACCTGGCACTGGGTGTCTGACACAAGCAAAAAGAAGACACAGCAGAGGGCCCTGTGGAAAGCCACAGGGATGATGAAGCAAGGGGAAGGAAGAACTCTCTGTGCTGCTGGGGCAACGGTGTGCTGCAGACCATGATCAACTGTGCCTGAGCGCTACCCGGCAAAGTGAACAAGAGGCCGGGGTGGGCACCTTGGGGACATCTATGGGTGAGAAGGGCAGGAAAGCAGAACGCACCAGAGTGCTGGGGCAGAAGGATGCCCTCCAAGCCTGGGCCCTGGAGCCGAGCACAGGCCAGGCCCCCACAGGGCTCTTGTCTGGCCACCTATAAATCACACAGAGTTCGGGTGCCCACCTCAATGACACCAGGTGCCAGACAGCTCAGCCTGGCCCTGACGCACAGAGCTCGTCAGCAAAGCCGGCTAGCGGCCGTGGGGCCTTTACCTGATGGGGCCGAAGGGTCAGGGTCACCCGCCTGGGGCTTCTTGAGCTCATCTGAGCTCTCCTCGTGGACAGAAGGCAGAGGGACAGAGTGGCTCCTCTTCAGCAGAGGTCCGGTAGTGGTTGAGCAGCTGCCCCCATGATCTGCTAGAGGAGACAGGCATGAGTGACTCCCGCCTCCACACACATGCTGGCGTCTGGCTCGGCTCAGCAGCTTGGGAGCAGGGTCTCCGCAGCACATGATCCGCACGTCTCCAGGCCAGGAGCCTGCCTGCTGGACCACAGGCGAGTGGGAGCCAATGCAAGTGCAGCTCTGCTCCCGCCCCATCCATCCCTCCCCCTACCCTCTCCAAGGGCTGCTGATGGCCGCCCCTGCTGCGGTCCTGATGCCTGGCAGGCAGACTCCAGCTCAGGCAGAAGCTGCCACTGTCCCTTTCTCAGTGGCATTCCTTAGTCCAGGTGGTCACCTGAGCACACCTGGGGTGGGCCATGGCAATGCTTCAGCGCTCCATCTGTCTCACAGGTGAAATGAGACCCAAACAGCCACCAACCACAGCCTTGCCCACCACGAAGGTAGCAGTTGCCTCCTGCACAGGCTATATCACCCAGTCTGTCACCCTCCCCGCCCACGTCTCTGCCAAGACCCAATCCCAGGCAGTGGCCACCCTGTGGCATAATGCTGACCAGAAGTCCAGGGAGAGAAAAGCTACTCAGGCAGGAACACTTGAATGCACATATGCTGAAGTGCGTTTCTGGGAGAAACCAGATCAGCCAGCGGTGGATGTCAGGTCATGTGGTCCCTGTGGGGTTTCCTGGGCACACACCTGGCCATCCTGGCTCTTACCCCATCCTGCACTCACCCCGCATCAGCAAACACTGGCTGGTTCCAGCCACGCACATGTGTTAGCCACCTGACACCTTTCAGGAACATAGAAGCACAGGGCAAACCCATCTGCTGAGGTGGTTGTCACCGCTGGAGCACAGAACGCCCCGGGGAACTTGGGGTGACTCATGTGGCACCAGCCACAGTGGGCCTCAGTCCCCTTGACAGCCCAGAGCGGCATGGCAGGGGCACAAAGCCAGAGACCTCCTGCCACACGGTGTTTCACCTGGGCAAGTCCCTCGTGGAGACTTCTGGGGGAATGCAAGGGAATGACCCAGGCGCAGGTGTGGTCACCTGGGTAATAAGTGAGGTGACCGTGTACATGTGAAGCGACCTGGGGGATGAGTGAGGTGACTTGAGGGATGTGTCAGGTGTCCAGGGCAGTGGGGACAGAAGGCCCTGCACATGGGGCTGGCAGCTGCCCTCCTTGCCTGGCAAGTACCTGGGTTGCAGGGCTCCGGAGGCCGCAGGGGCCTCTCTAGCCGCTCCTCTCGGCCGCCAAACATCTGCTTCTTGGCCTTCCCAGAGGCCACGCTGGCCACAGACACAAGAGGGATGGCCTGGCTCTCCTGGGGCACAAGAAACAATATCAGGGCTGCTCCGGGTGGCTGCACACTTATGAGTATCACCTCAGGGGAACCTGAAGCTCCATGCTGGGCAGTGAGACGGGACCAGCGGTTCCTAGGAATGCAGTCATGACAAACACAACCAGTCTGCCTGGGAACAAAGGCTCATCTCTCCCTATCTTAGCTCAGCTCAAGACATTCATCAAGCCAGAATGATGGCCCAGGTGTCCAGAACCTTAAGACTCCTCACCAAGATGGAAAACTCATGTTCAGACAAAAAGAATTCCTAAAATGCCAGCAACTGAAGACAACAAACCCTAAAATATCTCAAAACTAGGGAGAACATCCAGATGATGTGAGAATATTAAAAACCATCCTTAGCTGAGCGTGGTGGCTCAAGCCTGTAATCCCATTACTTTCAGAGGCTGAGGTGAGACCATTGCCTGAGCTCAGGAGTTTGAGACCAGCCTGGGCAAGTTGGTGAGACCTTGTCTCCACAATAAACCAAAATGTTAGCCAGGTGTGGTAGTGTGCACCTGTAGTCCCGGCTACTGGGAGGCTAAGGCAGAAGGATCGCCTGAGCCCAGCAGGTTGAGGCTGCAGTGGCCATGAGTGTGCCACTGTACTCCAGCCTGGGTGACAGAGTGAGACTCCAACT